AGGTAACTAGAGCCTCGAATACCTTCTATAACGATCTGCCAAGAATAATAACAAACATTTCAATTCAGTCTATTATCAGCATTAATGATGTCAGATTGATATGTCTGAATAAAAGGGTCAGTGGTAACACCCGAAATGGTGTCAAAGAAAAAGAAAAATCATGATGCGTGTTGATGATTACATGATAGTCACGTTAACGTTGCCGATGATTCTTTTGTTCAAGTTTATCTCTGTATTAGACTAAGTATTCGACCCTAACTCTAACTCCACAGATTTTTCACACAACGTTGCAMAGCTGTATGACAYATACKASAAGTTTTACCTTAAAAGATGAAGTGCTGGACAAAGGWACTTTACCATGMAGCCAYTTCTCTTCCTTGTTCCCACTTTGCGTCCATAATGTCTTGTAACCAGAGGTRTTTACCAAACCAACATTCAAAGTACCAACACCTTGACCATGCATGAAATACCAGAAATCAAAACACATGCTAGACGAGGCCTGGTACTGCTTGCTTAGTAGCCTGGCCTTCATGTTTTGTTGATAGGGGGAAGAAGCCTCTATGTAGGCGTAATAACCTGAAGATTATTAATAATCATAATCGATTAATTATCCAAATGAATAAGACATAAAAATGTGTAGATTAGTAATATGTAATTTGAACATTTGTGAAAAACCATCCTAGCTGTTTTAAATTCGCAGAGTGCATTCATGTAACTTCTATTTATGAAGACTGCACAATATTATCGGGAGGGGAGGTTGTGAATCCAGAGGGGGGGGGATATCTAATTTTATGGGCTTATAGAGGGGTGAAAAACGTCTAAAGTTAACTAGAACTTTAATTGGAAACTGGAAAATACTGAAAAACTTGTCAAGAAAAGGGTACCACGATTTGCGACAACTCTTCATTCACGAACAATAAATAGATATATTTACGGGAGAAGGGGGGCAGAGCGTAATATGTTTCGTTTGGGAGGGGGGTAGTAATTAACTTTTTTGATTTTTTGGCTCATATCTCAACCCCACTCTTGATAAATATTGAGCAGTCCCTAATTCCTGCTCCCTTGTTCACAGAATCAACTGGCTCAACTTTAGTAAATAAGATAGATACATACCAGATCCACCATGACCGGAGRGAGGACCAGTAGCATGAGACGGTGAATGACCTTGATGTGTCCACCAATTAAACACRTAATAGTTGTCAGGTGTTTTGCTGTTGTTTGGATCGTTGTACCACGTGCAATATATGTTTTCTTTGGTGCCAAAATCGCAAAAGTCAGCTACAACTGAAAAATATTATAGTTAAGCCGGCGCGCGGCGTGTTCATGTAACTGTTTTGAACGAGTTCGAACTTAGTCCCATGTGCATTCCCACATATGAAAATTYACCATCTTTGATTTTGAATCAATCAGAAAGCAAATTTCTGATTATAGAGTATTTTTAAAAGAAGCACAAGGTTCTCGGTCAGTGATAAAATATATGTGGCGTAAGTGGTTGTAAGTGAAGCGGAAGAAGTCAGGAGAGGTGACATTACCTGGAGGAGGAGGCGTAGTTGGTACTGGTGTAGTTAATGGTTTTTCTTGACATTTTCCCTCTTTAAACGTCACATCGTCTAGAGAAATGTCGCTTCGGTAGGACGAGCCTCTGACTGTCTCAAACATAACCTGCCACAGTATTGAAAGTTTTTATACTAACACAAAATTGATATCGGAACCTATCGATCCCTCTAGACGCAGTGTCAATATAGTGGATTCAACATTATCAAATAATTGTCCTTGCGAAAAACGTGCAGGTCGATGTGTCTAGTTCCTATAATTGGCCACCAATTGAAATTTGTGTATTATTTAAGTGCTGTTACACTKTGCAACTTTCTCAGAAATTTCTCTTGCAACGCYGTCGAGTCACAATTTTCGAGACACCCACACTGTTTAAGAATGCGTATTTTGTCATTTCTAGTGTCGACCTTCTTGATTCTGGCTCCCAAATTACCTCGATCAAAAAATATTGCAAGTTCTGGATAAAATTGTGCAGTGTAACAGAGCTATAATTTTCTGCGCATCTTTTGTTGCAAGGGCGTTGCAATCGACAAGTTTATGACATTAATTCGAGTACATACCTTGTAGCTACTTTGCTCATCAATAGTAAGATTAACACTTTTCCATTCCCTGCCTTGGTTACCTGATCGACTCCAAACCTTCTCTGAAGTCTTGCCGTCTATGTTTTGTATGTAGACATTGAGTGTGCCCATGCCTTTATCGCCATACATGTTATACCAGAATGTCATACATCGACCAGATGTTGGAGGGAACGTCTTGCTTATGAGCCTGGCTGTGTGTCCCGGATCTGCAGGGGCAGACGATTCGGAGAATATGTACTTTCCTAGAATAAGAGAATGTAATATATTAGAAACAATTGCTACTGTTCYAAATATTTGGCACTAGCGTAAAAACGAGAACCAAGGAAAATGTCGCCCAGGACACGGAATCGCAGCGTTCCAGAATTCCCGATTCCAAGCTCGTGGATTTCGGATTCCATAAAAGTAGGCGACATTTAATTTTAGCATTGTAACATTTGTCCTGTTATAAGAGGACATATCTTCCTTCCAGTACTTTTTCCGTTTTCAAAGTGATCTTACCTGAACCGGAAGTGTGGTCTCCAGTCGGCCCAGTCCCTTCACTATGTGTGGATCCAGAATGTTGCATCCATGGGTAGGGATTGGTGTCAGATATATTTTGATACCAAAAACAGAGACTGAATTCAAAATCGCAGTCATCCGGTCCTGAGAGGGATATGAACGAACACAGTGAACTTAAATGGATCATAATACAACTTAAAAGCTTTTCCGAAGCCRCTTGGATGAAAGATATTCGACAGATATGCTTACCCAGGCTACAGGACGGTTTCTGACAGTTCTGAGTTCCTGTACTTGATCCTACGCATTGAGCACCGCCATGTTTAGGGACGGGATCATCACAAACACGTTTTCGCACTTGARTTCCAGTCCCACACGTTATAGTACATTCTGTCCAAGACGACCAACGACCCCAGTGTCCATCGACTGGTGCTGTGGWAACAACAAAGGATGCTTAGCATTCAAAATGACTGATTGAAGAGCAAGCCCTGTGAGGGGAAGGAAGGGGGAAGGACGGTTCCTGCCGTTAGCCTAAGATATATTAAATGAATTCATTGAATGGACGATTCGCTTATCAAATGCAGCTATAAACATGATTTTCCTTAGACCTTGCTTCTACTGACGAAACGACTGATTGTCTTTGTGATTGACAGATTTTCATAAATTGATTGACAGCTGGACCGTGTCTGTGACTGACTGACAGTATCAGTGGCTAAAAGATTGACGATATGCCTCTCTGACTGCTGGTTGATTGACGGGTCGGACCATGTCAATGACTTATTGATTTGTTGACAGCCAAACACACTGGATTAGAGACTCAGACAGAATGGCTATTGACGGGATTCCTGTGTGACTGACATACAATAAACATACCATTGCATTGTTCCGCGGAACATTTTTTGTACTCAGTTTGGATGCCGTATACGTTTGCTTCWGGACACACCTTGGTCCTGTCCTCTGCTGTGCAAAACCGYTGACGGAAAGTATAGCAGTTGCTGTCACASGGACTGAACTCTGTCCACTTACTCCATCCACCGGTTGGCGCTTAAAAAAAAAAACAATTTTATTTCATTAGTAATACATTAATTCGATATTTATAAAGTACTTGATAGGTAAATAAAAATAACGTATTTTCAACTAATGCCTCAATACAWAATTAGTGCATGTATTGATCATTTGATATAACATATTAGTCATTATTTCATTTATTTGCTTACTTTTGCAATCATACAAAGCGTTCAGCTCCAATTTATCAGTCTCACTAAGACCAATACGTTGACCAATGCTTTGATTAGGGTCAATGGGTAGCAAGGTAGCTTGACCGTTCTTTGAAAATCCAAACTTCCCATAATGCATCACACTTCCATAGTCATAGTTTTTKTTAAGAATGTCGAGACTTCCGTGCGAATACTTGTTRAAATTGTACATATTTTCTGAATCAAAATAAAGAAATAAATACTRATGTTGCGCAGTAGCATTAATGGTTTGAGCAAATGGATCAATGAATAAATGAATGCAAGAACGAATAGAATGGGAGAATGAAAAAGATACCTTGTTCTATGTTTTCCCACATGACTTTCACATAACTATTTCTATCTGGTCTTGATTGTTCATGCCAAAAGCCGGAAGCATGAAGCATTTCATGCTGTATGGTACCCCTAATGTAGCAACCAGATTCTAGTGACACGTCTTGTGAACCTTCTCTCCAGTACATTCTACCAACATTGGAGACACACCTAATAAGGAAGACAACGGTAGCTTAGAAACTTTATCTATAACAACTGATGAAGCTTCAACTTTTCCCAATAATGTTTTTTTTAATCGCACGCAGATGTGACTGGGACTGAGTATGTCATTCTCGTACCCAGATCCTTGTCACTCTGCCAACGAAATGTCGAAGGGTTGGAGACGAATAAGTCTTTGATTTGATTGGTTCAAAAATTCCCATGAGCCATCAGTATGCATMWAACGTACAACCCACACTCTGAATCTTTCGGTATCGTTTCAAATCAGAGCCTTCGAGTTTCCGTTGGAAAACTGAGAAGGAACTGAGTATGAGAATAGAAGCACGTATCAAAATTATTAACTTTTAATTT